CTTCAGCTCAAGGCTAGCACTCCACCACCTGAGCCACAGTGCCAGTTCCAGCTTTTTTCTTTTTGCTTATGTAGTGCTGAGGAATCAAACCCAAGGCCTCATGCATGCAAGGCAAATGCTCCACCACTGAGCCACCTTCCCAGCCCTACCTTAGAGCTTTTCTTTCTTTTTCTTTTTTGTCGGCCATGGGGCTTGAACTCTGGGCTTGGGAGCTATCCCTCAGCTCAAGGTGAGCTCTCGACTGCTTGAGCCACAGCATCACTTCCGGTTTTCTAGTGGTTTATTGGAGATAAGAGTCTCATGGACTTTGCTGCCCAGGCTGGCTTTGAATCGTGATCCTCAGATCTCAGCCTCCTGAGTAGCTAGGATTACAGGCATGAGCCACCAGCGCCCAGCTTTGAGCTTTTCTTATCAGTAGACATAGGAAATAATAAAATTGCATGTCTTGAGGAATTGAGAATATTTGTGAATGTCATTCATTTAAAATTAAATTTTGCTGAATTGTACTGCCATAGGTAAGATATTCATTTCATAATAAACATGTTCTGGGCTGGGAATATGGCTTAGTGGTAGAATGCTTGCTTAGCATGCATGAAGCCCTGGACTCAATTTCTTAGTACCACATAAACAGAAAAAAAAAAAAAGCTGGAAGTGGCAGAGTGCTTGCCTTGAGCAAAGAAGCTCAGGGACAGTGCCCAGGTCCTGAGTTCAAGCCCCAGGACTGGCAAAAAACAACAAAAAACTGTTCCTTATCTTTCAACATTGTTTACTATTAATGATGGTGAGGATTGAGCCCCAGGGTTGGTCCTATGTGTGTTGACAAGCTCTATTAGCATTATTCATTACAGGATCTGAGTAAGGAAGTAAAGAAACTTTGTTACACAGACTTCTATCCTCCTGAAAGGTTATAAAACTTCTTTGGTGTGGCGGTACTGGGGGTTTGAACTCTGGGCCTAATGCTTGCTCAGCAGTTGCTCTACCACCTGACACCCCCAGACACCTCCCTCTACCCCCAGACTTTTTTGCTTTGGTTATTTTTGAACAGTCTCCTAGCAGGCCTGGACCATGGTTTTTCTAATATTTTGCCAAAGTCTCTCTCTCTCTCTCTTTCTCTCCCTCCCTCCCTCCCTCCTCTTTTTCTTTTTTTGGTGTCAATACTGGGGCTTGAACTCTTGGCTAGTGTTCTGTCATTTTAGCCACAGCCCCACTTCTGCCTTTTTGTTGGTTATAAGAATCTCACGGATGGGCTGGGAAGATGGCTCAGTAGTAGAGTGCTTGCCTTGCATGCCTGAGGCCCTGGGTTCGATTCCTCAGCACCACATAAGCAAAAAGAAAAAAGCCGGAGGTGGCGCTGTGGCTCAAGTGGTAGAGCGCTAGCCTTGAGCTGAAGAGCTGAGGGACAGTGCCCATGCCCAGAGTTCAGGCCCCATGGACCCCCCCCCCAAAAAAAAAAAAAGAATCTCACGATGCTGGGCACTGGTGGCTCACGCCTGTACTCCTAGCTGAGATCTGAGGATCATGGTTCAAAGCCAGCCTGGACATGAAACACTGATCTCCAATTATCCACCAGAATACTGGAAGTGGCACTGTGGCTCAAGTGGTAGAGTGCTCATGTTGAGCTGAAGAGCTGAGGGACAGCACCCAGACCCAGAGTTCAATTACCATGACTGAAAAAAAAAAAGAATCTTAAGGACTTTCCTGTCCAGGCAGGCTTTGAACCATAGGTCTCAGGTCTTGGTCTCCTGTGTAGCCTGTGTAGTGTAAGCCATCTGTACCAAAAATCACTTTACTATAGCTTATCTCAAATCTTACCACTCTTGTGGGACCCCCACTCTCTTTGTAAATTTTGTGAAGTCAAGGTAAGACAACACAATGAACAATTGTGTAAAACAAATATAGCTGAAGGTAAAAAAGGAAAGCTGCTTCATTTGTACAATTATAAGAATTCTAGGGGCTGGGAAGGTGGCTCAGGGGTAGAATGTTTGCCTTGCATGCATGAGGCCCTGGGTTTGATTCCTCAACACCACATAAGCAGAAAAAGCCGGAAGTGGCCCTGTGGCTCAAGTAGTAGAGTGCTAGCCTTGAGCTGAAGAGCTGAGGGACAGCGTCCAGGCCGAGTTCAGGCCCACAACCGACCAAAAAAAAGAATTCTATACCTTTTTTAAAAATTTGTGCATGTGTGTGGGCTAGGTGGGCAGGTAGTAGTAATTTACTCAAGGACTTGCTACAAATACTAGATAAGCTCTATACTACTTATATTTCCCTAAAAGTTGTATGATGATAATGTAGTTGTACAAAAGGGTTACAATTCCGTAAGTAAGGTTATGAATACAGTGTTTGGCAAGTATCATTCCTTTTTTCTCCCCTTTATCCCTTTCCTGTTCTTTTTGTTGGTTGTGGGGCTTGAACTCAGCCTGGGCACTGTCCCTGAGCTCTTCAGCTCAAGGTTAGCACTCTACCACTTGAGCCGCAGCACCACTTCTGGCTTTTTCTGTATGTGGTGCTGAGGCATCAAACCCAGGGCCTCATACATGCAAGGCAAGCACTCTTACCACTGAGCCACCTGAGCCACAGAGCCACTTCCATTTTTCTGGTGGTTAATTGGAGATCAGTCTCACGGACTTTTCTGCCTGGGCTGGCTTTGAACTGCGATCCTCAGATTTCAGCCTCCTGAATAGCTAGGATTACAGGCATGAGCTACCAGCACCTGGCTCAAAATCATTTTTTGTGAGACAGTTTTGCTCAGTTGCCCAGGTTGGCTTGAAATTTGCCATCTTTCTACCTTAGCCTCCTAAAATGCTAGGATTACCGTGTAGCACTGCACCCAGCTTAATTGCTGTCTTGTTTTGTTGTGCTTTCTTTTGTGTACTGGCCTTTGAACTCGGACTTCATACTGACTAAGCTCTGCCACTTACTTGAGCTACTCTGCCAGCCCATCTACCCCCGCCCTCCCGTCTGTCCTTGGGCCTGAACTCTGGACCTGGGCACTGTCTCTCATTCTTCAGCTCAAAAACAGAAAAACCTCTAATCAGTCAGGCTTTTTTTTGTAACCCTCCTCTTAATCATTTTCCTATTCCCACCTTACAAAACCTACTGTTTTGCTAATACCTTTTTTTTTTTTTTTGTCTGTTGTGAGGCTTGAACTCTGGGCCTGGACACTGTCTCTCAGCTCTTCAGCTCAAGGCGAGTGTTCTACCATTTGAGCCACAGCACCCACTTCTGGCCTTTTCTGTTTATGTGGTGCTGAGGAATCAAACCCAGGGCCTCATGCATGCAAGGCAAGCACTCTTACTACTGAGCCACCTGCCCAGCCAGAGTGCATTTCTTTTTAGGCCGTGTCACTCACTTTGTTTTGCTTTGGTTATAAAAGTTTTCTGACATAGCCAGTGATTGGATTTAAACTCATACGCAATCTGTTGCTTTGCTACTGTTTGTGGCTTTTCTTTGAAAATTGTAATACAGCTTCTGAAGTCTTTTTTTTTTTTTTTTGCCAGTCCTGGGGCTTGAACTCAGGGCTTGGGCACTGTTCCTGAGCTTCTTTTTTGCTCGAGTAATAGTCTACCACTTGAGCCACACTTCTGGCTTTTTGTTTATGTGGTACTTAGAATTGAACCCAGGGCTTCATGCAATTACTCTACCACTAAGCCACATTCTTAGCCCTTCTGAAGTCTTTACTTGTCTTTCTGTCAGCAATTCAGGCAATTAGAATTCATTCAAAAATGCTGCTTTGGGACCCAAGCTATTTTCTTTGAGCAGTAACATAGGAAAAAGTAAAGTAAATAGTTTTTTTCTTTGTTTTGAGAGGGGCCATATTGGGATTTGAACTGGAAACCTGTTTGCTACACAGGCACTTGTCATTTAGCCACTCCCTTCTGTCTACACATCTGTGTGTGTCCATTTGTGTGTGTTTGTCCATCCCTGTCTTATGTGTCTGTGTCTCTCCTGGGGCTTGAACTCAGTACCTGTGTGTTGTCCTTTAACTTTTTTTGCTCAAGGCTGGCCCTCTACCACTTGAGCTATATATTCACTTCCTGCATTTTGGTAGTTAATTGGAGATGAGAGTCTCATGGATTTTCCTGCCCAGGCTGGTTTCAAAACATGATATTCAGATCTCAGCCTCTTGATTGAGTAGCTAGGATTACAGATGTAAGCCATTGGTACCTGGTTTACATCTTTTTTTTTTTTTTCTTTTTTGGGCAGGGGTGTGGGTCTGGGTAGGGGGGTATGTATGGGCAGTCTAGGGGCTTGAACTCAAGGCCCTGGGCTGCTTTTTGCTCATTCTACTATTTGAGTCATAGTGCCACTTCTGGCCTTTTTTGTTTATGTAGTACTGAGGAATTGAAGCCAGGACTTTTCATGCACGCTAGGCAAGCATGTACTCTACCACACTCCCAGTCTTACATTCCTTTTTTGCTTTAATTATTCTTCTAGGATTTTTTTCATTTGAAGGAATCCTCCTATCTTCCTTTCCTCTATAGCTGAAATTAACATGCCTGAACTACCATATTCCTTAGTTGAGAGTTGTTAAGTGTCTCTCCCCCCCCCCCCTTAGCCTGTAGCCACATTCCTTTCAGTCTTCACATCCTGAGTATCTGGGATTACAAACATGAGTCATTCCTGGCCTCTGTAGTCTTGTGAAGGAGGACTGAAAATGGGATTCTGTCTCTTAAGCCACATTCCCAAACTCATAATTTTAATTGTACAGTCTTACTGCTTTTGACCATGATAATAGAAACTGTCTTTTTGAATTGGCAAAGTAGAAATCTTAAAGCCTTTGTAACCTTTTTAGGCACTGAGATTAAGAAATGAAAGTTATGGAAGTGGCGCTGTAGCTCAAGTGGTAGAGCGCTCGCCTTGAGTTGAAGAGCTGAGGGACAGCGCCCAGGCCCAGAGTTCAAGACCCACAACCGACAAAAAAAAAAAAGAAATGAAAGTTATTTAACCAGTTCTTCTAATTTAAAATTCTTATTTTACTCATTTTTATTTTGTTTTATAAACAGGTGCCATGTTTCAGGACAGAGTAAGACACCTGGTAAAGAAGAATTGAAGAAATTATACAGATACCAGATATAGCATAATTACAAAGAAAGCATTAACCTGCCTCTGAGGTGACTAAAGGGGAATAATGGTGATTTTGCGCCGGGCTCGGCCGCCTGCTTCCGCCCCAACCAGCAATGAATCTTGACTCGCTTTCGCTGGCCTTGTCTCAAATCAGCTACCTGGTGGACAATTTAACCAAGAAAAACTACCGAGCCAGCCAACAGGAAATACAGCATGTAAGTGATGTAATCAAGAAAGAAGTACCATTAAAGTGATGAATATGGGCTGGGAAGGTGGCTCAGTGGTAGAGCACTTGCCTTGCATGCCTGAGGCCCTGGGTTCAATTCCTCAGCACCACATAAGCAAAAAGAAAAAAGCTGGAAGTGGTGCTGTGGCTCAAGTGGTAGAGCGCTAGCCTTGAGCTGAAGAGCTGAGGGACAGCGCCCAGCCCAGAGTTCAGGCCCCACGACCAGACCCCCCAAAAAGAAAAAACCCACAAGAATTAAGTAGATCACTAAGAAAGTGTGTATGAAGAAAAGTCCAAGGGGGTCTTAATATTACAAGGCTGAAAGTCAGTAAAGGAGACTGAGCAGGAGAGATCAGTGGAAGAGCATCTTTGAAATAGTTTATCACTTTAGAAGGTGGGAAGCTATTAGCTTGGTCAGTGGTGTTGGCTAGGATGATCATATGGCTTGGATTTTACTGTTTATTTTGGTGCAGAAGTTTTCCTTTTGGTGGTGGTAGTGATACCATGAATGCTCAAGGAAGTGCTCATCACTGAGCTATATCTTCTACCTGTTATAAATTGTTTCTGGTGCCCTCTATGTTCAGAAGAGTACTAGTTTGACTCATTAATTACATGGTCACTATAATATATCAAATAAGAACTGGGAATTGGTTATTAGTTGAATGTACTAACATGCTAGCATAATGAAGTTTGGCTTTTTGAAATTTGTAGTCGACTATACACACACATTTATATTTACTCTTTTTTTTCCCCGGTTGTGGGGCTTGAACTCTGGGCCTGGGTACTATCCCTCAGTTCTTCAGCTCAAGGCCAGCACTCTACCACTTGAGCCACAGCAACACTGCTGTGAAAGAAAGTCTCATGGACTTTCTTGCCCGGGTTGGTTTTAAACCACTATCCTGGGCTGGGAAGGTGGCTCAGTGGTAGAGTGCTTGCCTTGCATGCATGAGGCCCTAGGTTTGATTCCTCAGCACCACATAAGCAAAAAGA